AAGTGTCCATACAGGTGTTTGTGGGTGGATGTATTATAGTTCTAGTTTGAGTCAATGAACTATATGTACAAGTTTGTGTATTTGTGTGTGCGTATGTGTGTGTGTTTGAGAGACAGAGAGACCCTAGTAAGAGATTTACATGGATTTATCAAAGGACGATGAAAATGCTCTGACTGGATTTCATAACATTTTTTTATTCCTAAAGCCTTTGCTCATTGACGCATACTGTCAGCAATAGTAACACTGCTTTTGGTGCTGACCCTGCAATCACATTTCTTTGTGTGAACCCGTATGCTCCTGTGGATTCCTGTTGAAGACGGTGGACTTCAACAGATGGAAGTGTCAGCAGATCTGACTGCCAGCACCAGGCTTTAGTAGTTATTTTTTCAACAGTATATTTTTAGGAAAAATGAGGTGGTGAGTGTTTGTGCAAGTAGAAATGGTTTTACATCAGACATTGTACTGCTGAGAGAGAGTTAGAAGACCAAGTGGGATATTAAGCTCAAGGCCTTCCCTAACGGTCTGAGGTAAATCACCTATATAGGCTCCCCTGAACATATTTTACACAAGCAAGGGGGCCCTGATACACCTTCATCAATATGCAGACTTCCCCATCCCCTGTAATTAGGAATAAAAAATGCTGCTCTTCCCCAGTGCAATTAAGTGCTGCCCCCACCCCCAAAACAGGGAAGTTACTCAGTCCCTACACCTCTAGAGCAGGGACCTGCAGACTACAGTACCCCTTCCCCAATATATCCTTCCCTATACTGCTGCCTGCCCAGGAAGCATTCACATACCTAATTTGCCCCTTCCCCCATAAAGACTGATGACATTCTCTTCAAAGTCAAATTGCCATCACCCATGACTCACAAAACGTTGTGCCCTCCAGCAGGGCTGCCAACTGGGGGTGGGGAGCGGAAAAAGGGGGCAGTTGCTCTGAGGCCCAGTGATTTGAAAGTACCTGGGGCTCTGGGCCACTGCTACTGCAGCCCCAGATCCTTTAAATCACCACCAGAGTCTTGCACAGCATGGTCGTGGTGGTGATGAGGGTTGGGTTGTGGAGCGCAGTGTAAGTGGGTGCCACTGAGGGTCAGCTGCCTCTTCTGGGGGACTGGAGTTGAGGGCTTCTCCCCCCTTGGTTCCCCCCACCCCCCCAGCACATTGTGAAGGGCTTGGCAAATTCTGTGGCAAGACCGGCCCTCCAGCAGGTATCTATTCCATGACTTCTTCTGTCTAATGGGGTTGTATGATTAACTTATCCTTAGTTATCCACCATATATCTCAATGAAAACAATGAGGTCTGTCTGTGATTCATCCAGACATTTATTATCTCACTCTCCAGAGGACAGAAGGGAACAGGTTTGGGTTTTTTTTTATGGGGAAGGATGGCCCCTTTGATCAAATGACCCCAAAATTGGATCACCGCTGACTCTGCATTCCCAGGAGGCAGATTTCCAAGCAATTAAGAGTAACCATTGAGATTTTACAGCACTTAGAGTATGTCTACACTACCACCCTAGTTCGAACTAGGGTGGTAGTGTAGACATACCCTTAGAAAGGTGAGTTTTAAAGCTAATAAAATGGTGGGAGTCAGTGGAAACAGGCATGATGGGAAATATAAACCAAGACTCCTGACTCCCAAGCCTCTGCTTTAGGCCCGAAGCAATGATGGTTATCTCCAAAACTGAACGGCTACGTCTACATTGGCCCCTTTTCCGGAAGGGGCATGTAAATTTCACTAGTCGTCGTAGGGAAATCCGCGGGGGATTTAAATATCCCCCGCGGCATTTAAATAAAAATGTCCGCCGCTTTTTTCTGGCTTTTAAAAAAGCCGGAAAAGAGCGTCTACACTGGCCCCGATCCTCCGGAAAAGGGCGCTTTTTCCGGAGGATCGGGGCCAGTCTAGACGCTCTTTTCCGGCTTTTTTAAAAGCCGGAAAAAAGCGGCGGACATTTTTATTTAAATGCCGCGGGGGATATTTAAATCCCCCGCGGATTTCCCTACGACGACTGGTGAAATTTACATGCCCCTTCCGGAAAAGGGGCCAGTGTAGACGTAGCCGTGCTGTTTTTCTGTAATTTGCCAGTCTTCGTGGAGGTGGTGGAGTTTTGGAACCTTGAGTGCTGGTACCACAGGACAGGGAACTCAAAGACCAGAGCCTGCTGCTGGAAAGCTGAAAGGGGTGGGGCACTGGGGAAACACCAATGCTGGGCAATGGAGATTAGATAGCACACACCTGTGCTAGGAGGGAGCCCCTGTGCAGTGGAGCTGTAAACGTGAAGGGTCCATCTCTCCCTATGAGGTGGAAACCTGGAAGGGCAGAGGCAGGGTCAAGATCAGCCTACTCTGCTCAGGCTGCTAGAGTGACACTAGAGAATGGCAGAAGAGGGAGCACTAGGACCCTGCGATTGCCAGCAGGTGACTGATTCTGGAAGCCCATAAACAATGGTAGAACATACATTTAAATTTATTATAAATAGTTTGGATGTTTTTCCACATTCTCAAATATATTGATTTTAAATTACATTGCAGAATACAACATCTACAATGCTCACTTTACATTATTTTGTATGATTAATATTTGCCCAGCAAAAAAGATAAAATAAATCGTAATTTTTCAATCCACCTCATAAAAGTCCACTCAGTTTCACTTCTTGTTTAGCCAATTGCAATGAAAAACAAGTTCATTTACATTTTCAGAGATATTGCTGCTTGATTCGTCTTTATAATGTCACCTGACAGTCACATGGCACTGTTGTAGCGGTATGGCAAAATATTTACATACAAGATATACTAAATATTAGTATGTCCTTCATGCATTGACTTGTAGGGTCTAAACTTTTACATTGTTTTGTTTTTATTGCAGTTATGTAATGATAATAATTCTACATTTGTAAGTTGTATTTTCATGAAAAAGAGATTGCACTACAGTATGTGTCTGAGACGGACTGAAAAATATTTAATTAAAAACAATAAGTTTAAGTGAGTGCTATATAGTTTGCATTCTGTTTTGTTATTGAAATCAACATATATGAAAATGTAGAAAAACACCCAAAAGTTATAATACATTTAAATTGGTGTTCTGTTATTGTTTAACAGTGATTAATCACAACTATTTTAATCTTGTGTTTAATCATGATTATTTTAATAGTAACTTATGCAATTATATTAACTAGTGTTATGATTTCAAGCTTTTTGAGGAAGGAACTGTTTCTATTTCTGCTTGCACAGTACTGCTACTGGAAATAGATCATTACTATTATGTATGACTTTTTTTTACTTTAGCACCCATAGTGTACTAGGTGCCATGCAAACATAGAAGGCCAGGTCCTATTTTCCTTAGGTAATTAGTATTTTCTACACATAACTTCTGATAAATAGAACTGGTGATAAAACAAAATTTTTGATCCACAAAAAATAGAGTATTTTAGGGAAAAAATCATAAATCAGATGAAAAAAAGTCAACATTTTTCATGGGACTGAAATTCTGAAATGTTTTGTTTCATAAACATCATCTATGCTCCTCAGGATCCCATATTCCACAGCAGCCTGCCTGGCAGACTGGTGGAGTGCCCAATTTCCTATGCCCCATGGGTTACCCCGCTTCCCAGCTCCTCAACTGGCCTTCAGACAGAAGGCTAGATAGGGAGCTGGCTGTTTGGAAAACCAGCCATCCCAGGAAGACAACCACCCAGGAGGAGGGGCAGTCCACCCACCTGTCTACCCTCTGGAAAGCTGAAGAGGCAGCCAGCTGGAGAGCTGGCTGCCTGGGAAGCCAGGAATCCCTGGGACGCCAGCCTGCTGATAGGATTGGCAGGGAGCCTTGGGTGCTGGGGGAAATAAATGGAAGCTAGGCAGCCTCCCTAGGTGCCTGGTTTCCATCAAAGTTGAAGAGGACATGACCTGATCTTGCAGAATATTTCAAGTCTATCAAACCGGCATTTTCTGATAGAAAACTGTTCAGTTGAAAATGTTTTTACTGGCTCTATTACTAAAGTTATCTAGCAAGGTATGTTGGAAAAAGTGTTTTTCATCCAGGGCGGTGTGTTTTTATTTATTTATTTTAAATATTTTTACAGTGAATTCTGGAAATGTACACTGTAAAATATACAAATCTTGCATTTCTGTTAAGAGGCATCCGTTTTTTACAATCATGGTTCTCCTGGTCCATGTGTCAGTATAGCTAATGTGCTTTGCCTTTAAGAAATTACCAAGTTGTCCATCTCCATCGAGCTAATGGATGCTTTTTAGCTTCCATAAGTCTTACTGGAAAAGTCCCATATTTTTGTTTTCTCTGGTCTCCAGAATTCTTAATTTTTTTATTTTGTTCCTTATTTCTTATATCACTATTGTTTATTTGCTAATTTCTTGTTGAATGTGTTTTTCTTCCTTGCCAGAATAAATTTGCTGCATCATTTTTTTATTTAGTTTTGTTTTTTAGAGAGAACCAAAATATTCTAAAGTGTGATGAAGGTTTTAATTGATATATTGATAAAACCAGTTTATTTTGCTCTCAAAGGTTCACTTTCAGCAGTCTCTTTCTTTGCATCAAAGCACTTAAGCACATGCTTAATATTTTGGTGCCTCATCCTGTGCTTTTAACTCAACTGGAATTTTACCATTGACTTCAGTAGCCACATGATCAAGCCCTTGAAGAATAGGGATAGAGTGATATCTGTGCTTATCAGGGCATAATTTATTATACTACATGCAGTTTAGAAATTGCTGTTTTTTATAACAAAAACTTAAATCATGTGTTCAGTATCTGCTGTCTCTACAGTCTCCTCATGATGTGCAGAAGTGCAGAATTCTATTTAATGTCTGCATGAATATTGTCATCATATGCCTTATTTTAACATGGAAAAAATAATCATTTTGAATTTTAGAAAAAAAATATACTTTCTCAGACTGATGTACTGATGATGAAAATTTAGATTTCAAGCAGATATCAGAAGTATATGTACTATACCTGACATTAATTATTTTCTCCAACTTTTCAGAGCCAAATTTTGTGTCATCCTATGACATTGGAAACTTCACATACTTCTTCTTCCGAGAGAATGCAGTAGAACATGACTGTGGGAAAACAGTCTTTTCTCGGGCTGCTCGGGTGTGTAAAAATGACATAGGGGGCAGATTTTTGCTAGAGGACACCTGGACAACCTTTATGAAGGCTCGTCTGAACTGCTCTCGCCCAGGAGAAATTCCATTTTACTATAATGAACTACAAAGCACTTTCTTTCTGCCAGAATTGGACTTGATCTATGGGATCTTTACCACTAATGTGTATGTAACTTACAATCTTTTTGTTTATTTTACTGTTATATTCAGAGTAAATTCTAAGGCTCTCAAGCTCCCTTCTGGCTCTTGGATAATAATTTTAAATAATAATTATTAATGATAATTATTATTTTAAAACCAGTGTAAAGGGTGTTACAAGGAGGACCAAGCAAAATTGTTTGCCTTGGCCGCTGATGATAGGCCAAGAAGCTATGGGCTTAAATTGAAGCAAGCAAAGTTAAGGTTGGACATTAGGAAAAATTTCCTAAACGTCAGAATGATTAAACACTGGAATAAATTGCCGGGGGAAGTTGTGAAATACCCATCATTGGAGATATTTAAGAGTTACTGGGATAGACATCTATGAGGGATGATCTAGACCAGGTGTGGGCAAAAATTTTTGATTGGAGGCCACTTTGCAAATTTTTGAAATGGCCCCGGGCCACCAGAAGGGGCAGGGCCTCAGGTGGAAGGGGTGGGGCCAGGACACTTCCATGCTTCCCCACCCACAGTCTTTGCCCCTGTCCTCCCTCCCCCCCCCCAAAAAAAAGAAAATGCCAGCTGTTTTGAACAGCTGGCAGTTCCCTTTAGGTGCCCTACCCCTGCTGGAGGGAGGAGACTTCATGCACTTGCCTCTCTGCCCCCAGGTCAGTCAGGGCCTGGGTGAAGGGGAGCATGGAAAAATCTCTCACTCCCTACCCTAATCCTGCAAGGGAGTGCGGCGCTTAGAGTCAACTGCCAGCTGATTGGCAGCTGGTGGTTGACTTTAAGTGCTGAGCCCATTGCAGGGCAGGAGGAGACTTTGTGTGCTCCCTCTGCCCCCAAGGCCTGATTGGCTTCGGGGGTGGGGAGAAAATGCACAAAGTTTCCTCCCAACCTGCCAGGAGCACACAGAGCTTCTAACCACTGCACACTCCTTGCAGGGTGGGGACAGGGCAGGAGAAGAATTTGTGTCCCTCTTCCCCTCCCTCCTGACCCAGCCCTAGCCCTGATTGTCCTGGGGAAAGACAAGATCGTGCAAAGTCTCTCTGTCCCCCATCCCTAGGCCCTGATTGGCCTGGGAGCAAGGAAGCGACAGGGCATCTGAGGGCCAAATCAACCCACTTCGCGGGCCAGATCCAGCCCTCAGAGGCCCTTTTGTCCACCCCTGACATAGATAGTGCTTGGTCCTGCTGTGAGGGCAGGGGACTGGACTCGATGACCTCTCAAGGTCCCTTCCAATTCTAGTGTTCTATGATTCTATGATACTGTGCGGACAGATAGTCTTGCACTGACATATGTTGACTGTTCTGTTCTACTGGTTCAAACCAGTGGTCTACCTAATCCAATGACCCATCTCGAAAAAATAATGCCCAAGAAGGAAGAATGCTTGCTCTTTCCTCCTAACAGTGCAATCTTTGTCTCGAATACCTGTTTTGTCGTCTTGCTCCTATAAATGAAAATGTTATGCATTTTGTGGACCCCAGCAATCAGAAAGGCAAAAGGCTCCAGGGGGTCCAGTAATGAGGAGCAGGCTGCCTATTACAGTAATTCAGACAAGGGTTTAGCATTTTTTATGTGAATTGCTTGTGTACACATAGCTAATATGAAACTTACTTTCATCTGCTAGTTTTTGTTTTTTTCCAATGTGACTGACAAGCATAAAGAGTCAAAGTGCTTTTCTGCCATGGTTGTAAATCCATACTGATACACTGTTTGTTCAGTCGGCAGATCTGATCCCCAGGGATTATTTTCTCTTCCCAATAAATTTGAACAATAACAATTTGAAGCTTAAACAGTAGATTTGCTTTCTAAAGCCTTGTTTAAACAACAGAGTAGGTTAGAAGAAATAAATGCTGTGTTGACCACTTGTCAGCAGTTTTGCCCACAGTGGAAGTTAGTGTAACTGTCCGCCTGCTTCATTATTTCTCCATTTATCTTACATTGTACAAAAGGACAAATCAGGAGTTTAGTTCCATGAGTTATGGATATGGTTAAAAAAGTAATTCCAAGCCTTAATTCACTGTGAGCTGTTAGGCATTCAATTTATTTTGCTTTTGCTAAAAGCATTTTTATAAATATTTTAAACCTCTCAAATACTGCTCTTTTTTTTTCGAGTTAGCTTTATTTATGTTGTTATGCCAAAATGAAGTTGTAATTTGCAGCAGAGTCCCATTTTTGGAGTTCTCACAGTTACAGTATACACATCTATATTGCTTACATTGTGCTAAATTAACACACTGTTGTACTTTATTTCTCATTTCAACATGAAAATAGGGGAATGGTATAGCTGGCTTGGCCGGTGCTTAACTCTTTGGGTATGTCTACACTAGCTCGTTAATTCGAGCTAGGTAGACAAATCAGGCAACCAGAGTTGCAAATGAAGCCCGGGATTTAAATATCCCAGGCTTTACTTGCATGTTCCCGTCTGGCTATCATTTTTAAATCCCCCTTAGTTCGAACGAACTGCTCGCGGTTACACGTGGCAGTTTAAAGTTAATCCGAACTAAGTCCTTAGTTCGGATTAACTGTTACTCCTCGTTGCCTGATTTGCCTACTTAACTCGAATTAACAAGCTAGTGTAGACATACGCTTTGATATTGCAGAATGTTAAGTTCAAGTTACTTGCTTATGGGCTTATTTTGCCAACCAGTGGGCACCTGTTGTCCATAGGGATAGTGTTACTTTGAAGATGTGGGCTTGAGTGTAGATCTCTTAGTTTCTCATCCTGCAAGAACTTGGGCGTATTTCAAAGGGAACAGACTTAGGGTACGTCTAGACTACATGCCTCTGTCTATAGATTAGGCTATCAGGCATAGGAAAATGAAGCGGCGATTTAAATAATCGCCGCTTCCTTTAAATTTACATGGCTGCCGCGCTGAGCCAACAAACAGCTGATCAGCTGTTTGTCGGCTCAGCTCTGTAGTCTGGACGTGGAGGTGTCGACATCAAAGGCATTTGTCGACCACCCAGGTATGCCTCCTGGGATGAGGTATACCTGGGTGGTCAACGCTGAGCTGACAAACAGCTGATCAGCTGTTTGTTGGCTCAGCGCGGCAACCATGTAAATTTAAATGAAGCGGCGATTATTTAAATCACCACTTCATTTTCCTATGCCTGGTAGCCTAATCTACATGCCTCTGGCAACAGAGGCATGTAGTCTAGATGTACCCTTAGCGCTCTCACAGTGCAACCGGCTGATTAAAGAAGGAGGAATATTGATGAACCGTGAGATGGAAGAGTGGTAGCTCTGATGCATGAAGTCAAGATTGTAAAAGAACAGGATTAGGAAGCAGGAATTCCTGAGTTTCAGTCCTAGATCCCTCTATATTCTCGACAAGCCACTTTTCTCATTTTTAGTTTTCCCATCTAAAAAATGGGGATGTTGATACTTTCAGTATGTGTCACACTGGGATGTAGTGAGAATGGCTAGTTAATGTTTATAAAGTGCTTTGAAGATTAAGAGCTTGAGTCACTCAAATGGTTGCAGTAATCATCAAGAGGACACCTCTTATATTCATTAGGGCTCCTGAAACTTTGCGCAGATTTACTCTCCCACCCTCAGCTGCTAAGCCAGGGCACATTTAAAGTACTATCAGGGTGCCCATGATGTGCTGCTGCTGGGAGCAATTGAACTTTGGCCCTGACCACTTTCTGATTGGCCCCAACTATATTGTGAACTACTCATAGAGTTGCAGAGTTAATAAGAGGAAATGTTGCTTTTTGTGGGCAGGTAATTAATTCCTCAGTGTCTCTATTTATCTTGGTTTTGTTTTGTTTTGTTTTGCAGGAACAGCATAGCTGCCTCTGCAGTTTGTGTTTTCAACCTGAGTGCGATAACTCAGGCCTTCAGTGGACCATTCAAATTTCAGGAGAACTCCCGCTCTGCCTGGCTGCCTTACCCCAATCCCAACCCTAATTTCCAGGTACGTAGGGCGCTAGTCCTCAACAAACTTCTTTAAAGCACAGTTTAAAGGTATCAGATTACAGACTGAGAGACAAGTCGTTGGAGTTATTGTATCTGGAACTACCGTAAATTAGCGTATATAACCCGCCGTTTTTCCTGAATGAGTAAAAAAAATTTTAGATAACCTGCGGACATATATAACCCGCAGGTTATATACACTACTTTAAGATAATTGCACGTACCTGCTGCCAGCGGGGGTAATGTAGAGCGCAGCGTAGGCGAGCTGGCCGGCCTGCAGGAGGGGAGCCACACTCACACCCAGGCTCTGTGCAACCGCAGCCAGGCGCAACCCACCCTCCTCCGGGCAGGGGGAATGGAGACCGCAGCACAGATGAGTAAAAATAAACTTGTATACCCTGCAGACATGTATACACCATAGGGAGGGAGTGGGGTTTGTAAATACATGTATAACCCATGGATTATATACGCCAAAAGATGGTAGTCCAGCTAACTGGCAAACAAATCTGTTCAGATAGATATCAGTGAAATGAGCTGCACTTTACAGAGATTGGTTCACATTATGGAACAGTGGCATTGATAATTGGCAATATATGTCCTTCTGTTTCCTTATATCCAAATTCGCCAAAGGAAGAAAAGACAATTTAAGGACAATATTGAGTAAAATCTGTTGAGCTTTTAACACAGTATTTACTGGGACACAGTATATCTCGGATAATTTATATTCCCCACAATTTGATTTTGTGAAATACGGAGGGAATGAAAATTACTCAGAGAAATAGGCAAAAAAAGGGATTAAGGCATTTTTGTATAAATATTTTTACTCTTAAATTTGAAAGAGAAGGATGAGCCCCTCCCCTGCTTAGAAATCTCTTGAGCATGTGGCCTTTGAAGACAAATCCTCCACTCCCCAGGTTCACAAAAAGTGTCTTTTCAGTTTTTAACAATAGCCAGAACATCACATGAAATTTCATGCAAAATATTTGAGTTTTTAAAAAGTTTATTGTGTTTCACAGGAGTTTTTCATGAAAATAAGCACATGTTGACTCGCCACCCCCAAAACACTGTGCACACACAGAGTTTTGATTCAGGGGAGACAGGAATGTGGTGTTATTACTGCAGTAAAAAGCCATGATTCTGCCATTGCATTTAATGCATTTCCATGAAGTTACTATTATCTTCAGTTAGGCTCTGTGTGGGTATAGGGGTCCATCCACCCAAACCAGATTGTAAGCTCAGTGCCCAAGCTTGCATTGTGTTCTACCAGTGGTTCTTGATACATGAAAAACTAAAGTTCCATCTGTCTCATCAAACTTTATGTATACCGTAGAGAGAGATTACAAAATCAAGTATACTCTGGCTGCCACCTATGCACGGCTGACTTTATATTCCATTTATGCAGGTTCATAGATTAGGTTTGGAAGAGACCTGAAGAGGTCATTCAGTCTAGACTGCAAACTTCTTTCGGAATAAGCTTTTGTGGAAGAGATCTTCCGGAAAAGCTTATTTAGAAAGAGAGCGTCCAGACGCAAAAAGCGCAACAAAATAGTGATGTGCTATTTCAAAAGATAGTGTCCACACTGATTGGACGCTATCTCACACTTAACGCCACCTGGAACCAGTTCAGGAAGGGCATTAGGTCAGCACTTGCTTCCGGGTGCTGTTGCCTAAAGCTAGCTGAGATGCATGCATAGCTTCCCCAATTATCACCTCTAATACCATTAACTCACAGACATCTCCCCTTCCCCACCTCTAATATCATTAACTCACAGGCATTTACCTTCCTTTCCCCCCTCCCCTGTATTCCCCCTCTGTTCTGAAATGTGATTTGTCCTTTTCATATGTGTTCATTTTTTTAAATTGTATCCTTTGGTATATATGGTTGTGACTATTTTCTTCCACTATTTGATCTGAGGAAGTGGGTCTGGCCCACGAAAGCTCATCATCTAATAAACCATCTTGTTAGTCTTTAAAGTGCTACATAGTCCTGTACTTTGTTTCAGCTACACCAAACTAACACGGCTACATTTCTATCACTAAACTGAAAGAGATACTTTTCCGTGGTCCTGCAGGCTGTGGTCGACCACCGCGGACAGTTAGTGACATTTTTGTCAGCTAGTCGGCAAGGGCGCACAACGCCCGTGTCTTCCACAACTCAAGCCTGTACCAGAAGCTGGAGGCTAGCACTTTCTTCCCTGAGCACAACTTCCAAGTCGGGGATGTGGAGATACGACTGTACATCATGAGGGATGCAGCTTACTCCCTCATGCTGTGGCTGATGAAGCCATACACTGGTCACCTGCACCCAAGCAGGAACAGTTTCAATGCCTGTCTGGACAGGGCCCACATCCAGGTGGAATGCGCCTTTAGGCACATGAAGGCGTGGTTCAGGTGCCTCCTGACCTGCCTCGATATGGGGGAGCACAACATCCCCCAGGTAGTGTCAGCCTGTTGTGTTCCCCACAATTCCTCCGGGGGGGGGGCGAGGGGCCAGCCGGGAGGGAAGGGCCTTCGAACAGCCCCGCACAGCCGCCATCCACCAGGCCCATCAGGTGGGGGTGCTCATTCAGGAGGTCCTGAGGGAGTCTTTCTCTGAAGGTCTCAAGTAACTCTCCCCAGGGCCACCCTACTAGGGGCTTCTGCCTTGCCCCTTTCTACCTTTCCCACAACAACCCTTCTCTTCCCCCTAATAATACTTCTTCCCTGCAGCCAAAATAAAAAAAAACTGTTTAGTTTTGAAAAAAAATAACTGTTTGCTTTTTTATTTGGGATAAAAGTAACTGGGAGGGAGGGAGGGAGGCTGAGAACCTCGATATGAGGAGAGAAGAGAGAGGCTGAGAACCTGGGTATGGGGAGGGGGAGTGAGAACATTTAAGCGGGGGAGAGAGTCTCAGAGCTAGGGCTGAGACTGGCGCATGGTTCAGATGGTACTTCCACCTTATATCTGGGGACCTCAGGAACCTCAGCGGTGAGGGGGTCCTGGGAGAACAGGGGAATAGGCAGGAGGGAGGGCTGGAGCGGGGTCAGGCATGGCAGGAAGAGCTGGGTCAGGCATGGCTGTGGTGGGGGAACAGGGATAGGAGGCATGTACACCATCATCCCCGGATAGTAGCACAGATGTTGCAGCCTTACTGCAGCAGCTTGGTCCACATCTGGGCCCACCATTATGCGTCGTCCTGGGCGTTCTGGTCCAGAGTCTGCTGTATGTCTCTGAGGACGGACAAGTGCTCTCTCATTAGGTTCTTGTGGACCCTCTGACACCTGCGGCTCCCCGAGCATCAAGCGACTGTCTCAGAAGCTGGTGATTGCCCCACAGTCACGGCCAGTCTGGCTGGGGAGAATAAAGAGAGGTGGTCAGTAATCCCTGGAGATATTGTCCCTGAGGCCTTGCCCTCATCAGTGAGCTGAGAGCAACAGTTCTCAGGTCAGAAGGAGGTGATGTCCCAGGACCAAGGCCATGTGTGGCCTGGATAGTGGGCCCTGCCCCACAGGGGCCCAGAGGTCCCCACGGGGAACATGCTTTCTGCCCCCCTGTCCCATGGACAAGCAGGCAAGGGAGGTGTCCAGCTGCAATGGAATCCCATAGCTGGGATTCCCATGGCTGGGAGAGGGGTTAGGGTCTCTATCAGGGCCGCACACATACCTGGACTTGGCAGCGCTGTCCCCACTGTCCTCCTCATTTTTTGAGGAGTACAGGATCTTTCAAAATGGGGCATTTCTGTCGAAAATGTCTGATATAAACTGCCGATTGTTTTCAAAAAGCCCCGTTTTGAAAAAAAGGGGCGGCAGCCATTATGCAAATTTAGCACAGGATATTTAAATCCCCGCTTCATTTGCGCTTTCAATACATCTAATTTACATCCCTCTGCCGACAGAGGAGCATAGATTAGACATAGCCATACTTATAGAATTTCTTCTTGTTACCCTTTATGTCTATAACTAGATTCAGCTCATTTTGTGCCTTTGCCTTTCTTATCTTGCCCCTGCATACCTGTGTTGTCATGTAAGATCTCCTGGTTAAGAAAGTATGGTAAGTGGTCTCTTACCATACTTTCTGACTTTCCTACACAGATGTCCCTTTGAAAAGCTGCCAGTTCTCTTCAGTTGTTTTTTCCTTAGTCTCGCTTCCCATGGGACTTACCTACCAGCTCTCTGAGTTTACTAAAATCTGCCTTCCTGAAATCCATTGTCTCTATTTTGCTGTTCTCCCTTCTGCCATTTCTTGGAATCATGAACTCTATGATTCACCCAAGCTGCCTTCCACTTTCAAATTTTCAACTAGTTCCTCCCTATTGGTTAAAATCAAATCTAGAACAGCTTCCCCACAATAGCTTTCTCAACCTTCTGAAATAAAAAATCGTCTCCAATACATTCCAAGAACTTACTGGATAGTCTGTACCCTGCTCTTTTAGTTTCCCAACATATGTCTAGATAGTTGAAGTCCCCCATCACCACCAAATCCTGCGCTTTAGATTATTTTGTTAGTTGTTTAAAAAAAGCTTCTTCCACCTCTTCTGCCTGAGTAGGTAGTCTGTAGGGGTGTGTCTAGACTACATGCCTCCGTCGATGGAGGCATGTAGATTAGACAGATTGGCAGAGGGAAATGAAGCCGCGATTAAAATAATCGCGGCTTCATTTAAATTTAAATGGCTGCCCCGCTCTGCCGATCAGCTGTTTGTCGGCAGATCGGGGCAGTCTGGACGTGCCGCGTCGACAAAGAAGCCTTTCTTGATCAGCACAGGTAAACCTGGTTTCACGAGGCATACCTGTGCCGATCAAGAAAG